ATCGGTATGTCCTCATATCATTGTTTAGTGGTAGCGAGAAATAAGATCAGATGAGATGTTAATGAGATTGTTAAATGCTGCACTTCCTCATTGATAACATATATATGTCATGTTTGGGGATGAGACATTTAGGCAAAACGTAGGCATCCACATGGGCACCATTTGTGCTCTCGCTCTTGCTGATCGTTTTCAGTCGTTCAATAATGGTCAAATAGCCAGTTCCCTTCCACTAATTCACCCACCTGAACTAGAAATAAAAGACACCAGTGAGACCGCCTGATCTGTTTTATATTTATATCCATGTAGAAAGATTCAAAGTATAAGCAAAAATCTACACAAGACTGTATGACACAAGGGGATGAGTTCAGTTTCCAAAAGTCATTGCTCCCTTCGTGTCGAGAGCAATGTTCCAGCAGTAACAGCCCTTGGCGTGCACATTTCACAGCTGTTGAGGTACAATCGAACACGCTCATTATATGAAGATTTTAAAAAGCATCACACGACTAAAGTTTTGAAAGGTTTTATGGTAGACATGTAGAGCAAAGACGGATCCAGCATTTTTAAAAGGGAGGGGTCCAAATATTTAAAATCCTGTCACAGATCATTTTGCTGCCTACAACAAACTGCATTTGGTTTTCAAAAGGGGGCGGGTGACCTTGGACCCCCACCTCCTGAATCCGCCTATACAGAGAAGTATATAAACACGTGTAACCTGGCTAGAAGGGCTGGCTGGCATACTATGATGAGTGTCACTTCCTTCTACAGTGTTCATGCTATGATGAGAGTCACTTTCTTCTACAGTGTTCATGCTATGATGAGTGTCACTTTCTTCTACAGTGTTCATGCTATGATGAGTGTCACTTTCTTTTACAGAGTTCATGCAATGATGAGTGTCACTTCCTTCTACAGAGTTCATGCTGTGATGAGTGTCACTTCCTTCTACAGTGTTCATGCTGTGATGAGTGTCACTTCCTTCTACAGTGTTCATACAATGATGAGTGTCGCTTCCTTCTTCAGTGTTCATGCTATGATGAGTGTCACTTCCTTCTACAATGTTCATACATTGGTGAGGGTCACTTCCTTCTACAATGTTTATACCTATGATGGGTGTCACTTCCTTCTACAGTGTTCATGCTGTGATGAGTGTCACTTCCTTCTACAGCGTTCATGCTGTGATGAGTGTCACTTCTTTCTGCAATGTTTATACCTATGATGAGTGTCGCTTCCTTCTACGGTGTTCATGCTGTGATGAGTGTCTATTCCTTCTACGGTGTTCATGCTATGATGAGTGTCACTTCCTTCTACAGTGTTCATGCTATGATGAGTGTCACTTCCTTCTACAGAGTTCAAACAATGATGAGTGTCAATTCCTTCTACAGTGTTCATGCTATGATGAGTGTCACTTCTTTCTACAGAGTTCATACAATGATGAGTGTCAATTCCTTCTACAGTGTTCATGCTGTGATGAGTGTCACTTCCTTCTACAGTGTTCATGCTGTGATGAGTGTCACTTCTTTCTACAATGTTTATACCTATGATGAGTGTCGCTTCCTTCTACAGTGTTCATGCTATGATAAGTGTCACTTCCTTCTACAGTGTTCATGCTATGATGAGTGTCACTTCCTTCTACAGTGTTCATGCTATGATGAGTGTCACTTCCTTCTACAGTGTTCATGCTGTGATGAGTGTCAATTCTTTCTACAATGCTTATACCTATGATGAGTGTCACTTCTTTCTACAGAGTTCATACAATGATGAGTGTCAATTCCTTCTACAGTGTTCATGCTGTGATGAGTGTCAATTCCTTCTACATTGTTCATGCTATGATGAGTGTCACTTCCTTCTACATTGTTCATGCTATGATGAGTGTCACTTTCTTCTACAGTGTTCATGCTATGATGAGTGTCACTTCCTTCTACATTGTTCATGCTATGATGAGTGTCACTTCCTTCTACAGTGTTCATGCTATGATGAGTGTCACTTCCTTCTACATTGTTCATGCTATGATGAGTGTCACTTCCTTCTACAGTGTTCATGCTATGATGAGTGTCACTTTCTTCTACAGAGTTCATACAATGATGAGTGTCAATTCCTTCTACATTGTTCATGCTATGATGAGTGTCACTTCCTTCTACAGTGTTCATGCTATGATGAGTGCCACTTCCTTCTACAGAGTTCATACAATGATGAGTGTCAATTCCTTCTACAGAGTTCATACAATGATGAGTGTCACATCCTTCTACAGTGTTCATGCTATGATGAGTGTCACTTCCTTCTACAGAGTTCATACAATGATGAGTGTCAATTCCTTCTACAGTGTTCATGCTATGATGAGTGTCACTTCCTTCTACAGTGTTCATGCTATGATGAGTGTCACTTCCTTCTACAGAGTTCATGCTGTGATGAGTGTCACTTCTTTCTACAATGTTCATACAATGATGAGTGTCACATCCTTTTACAGAGTTCAGTAAAGGAAATATGTTGTGAGCGAGTGATGTTTAATGCCACACTTAGCACCATTTCATCAATACTACGTCGGAGGACACCGGTAATGGTTGTACATGAAGGAAGATGGTTAGGAATAGAGTTAGAACTACTCATATGGCCTGTGTGTGAGCGTGGTACAAAAGATGAATAAAATCTTGTCTCATAATCTGTAGACCTTAGAGGATATTACTTATCGAAAATGTTTTGTCATTATCCAACCCTGAATAAATTTCAAATGCTATTATCTGGAATTCTACTTAAATTCGTATCGCAAAGCTATGATAAAAGACTGAAAAATACAAAATCTAGGTGTACCATGTGTTAAACATGTATATTAAACATGGTATTAATAATTATGTAATATTGTTTGTGTGTGTGTGTGTGTGTGTGTGTGTGTGTGTGTGTGTGTGTGTGTGTGTGTGTGTGTGTGTGTGTGTGTGTGTGCGTGCGTGCGTTGGGCTGAGTATGTATCTGAGTATTTTGTTTTTGTCCGTGAAGATCCGGGGTAGAATTAGGTCTTCAGCAACCCATGCTTGTCGTAAAAGGCGACTATGCTTGTCGCAAGAGGCGACTAACAGGATCGGGTGGTCAGGCTCGCTGACTTGGTTGATGCATTTCATCATCCCAATTGCGTGGGTTGATGCTCATGACATCAGTCACTGGATTGTGTGGTCCAGACTCGATTATTTACAGACCGCCGTCATATAGCTGGAATATTGCTGAGTGCGGCGTTAAACAACAAACTAACCATGTTGAAGAACTGTTTTATATCTTGATTTTGAAAACTGGTCGAAATGGCAGCCATTTTGAAAGACTTGAAACTTCATTTTTCTTTATGATTTTACTATTTTGGTGTTTTTAAGCATTGTTGCAGTTATCCCACTCATCCGCTACATTAACATAATCCACCACCATGTCTCAATAAGCAATATTTGTCCAACTTGGTCTTTGAGGGGTGGGGTAACATTGTATACAATATCTCAGACCCTATATAATAAATTTTCATTTTGTTTTCAGTATAGGGTAGGACAATGGTTCAGGCAAATTCTGATACACAGTTATAGTGGTTTTAGTGTAACAACTTAATGGAATTAGTGTTTTACCAACTCACAAGATTTGAAAATGGAAGTAAAGAAACACGATTAGTATCAATGTTTTCACTGAGAATTAGAAGTATATAACAGTTAAAATATACAAAATGTTTGCAAAATTCAGAAAACCGAACACATTACCTGTAATCAAAGACATCATTTGGATAATTTAATGGCTTAATAAAAATGCTACAGCCATTTTTGTCAAATTATGCATTTTTCCTTCAATTTATGCAATTTTGACCCCCTGAAAATTCACGCACACACTTTCAAGCTTACTACCCAATACAGATAGGTACAGATACCTCCTCTATACAATAGAAAACGTTTAAGGTATACAGGAAAATGTGAGAACGGAATTCTTGTCTCCCCCCCCCCCCCCCCCCCCCCCCCCCCCTCCTTCGTCTGTGCATGAAAGCAATCTTATGTCTCTTGAATATGAGTAATTCATCATATATTAACTAACGTGTGGTATTCGCGCTTCTATGTGAATATGCATATGATCTGCCCCTCGGCCCCCACTGCTTCACCACAGACACCATCCCCAATCCTCCAAACGAGCTACAAAAATCTATGTTTCGGCCCTCACCCCGAGGAACGCCACCACAGGCATCTAACACCATGGAACACTAATCGCCATAGTTGTTTTCATCGTTTATATAAATAAAGCGACATAACCCTTTCCATCTGCATAAAGAGTCCATATCACGAGCATGTGTTTATGAATCACTATGAAATAGTAATGATACCAGGTGTTCGCGAAAAGGTGTTCGTATCCTGCTCCACCGGTGGCACCCGTCACAAACACATACAAAGGCAAGTCAATTGTTCACCTGGAAACAATGACGAGTTTTTTCTTCATGGTCCTCCCAAGTCCCTTACATTGAGTATTCCGTTTCTCTTCTCTTCTCTTTTCCATAAAACAGTGCAGTGGAACAATAACATGGACTTCATACACTCAACTGGAAATATATGTAAATATAACATAACAAGTTAATGGATTCAGTTGCTGGGAATCGATGTATAACGCGCGTTATTAATGTTTCAATATAGAAGTACATGTCTGACCATGCATTCGGGATTGAACCAAACATAATTAATTCACATATTATTGGAAATTATTACGATGGTGTTATCATATTTTCTTCCACAATTACATTTATTTTGAATAACAAATCATTTCAAGTTTATTTTTTAACAATTGATAAATATATTTAAAATGACAAGCTGTGTTCATTATTTATTCCGGGGATGTTTTTCAGGTGCATGTTCAGATATTTCAGTTGTTTTTAAGGCTTTCTGTATCTGGGAATAAACTGTTCGGTTGGGAAGTGCAGTATAGATTCATTAGAACACCTTGTCCTCGTATAACACTCGAGTAGCGGCACAATTTATCCGGTAATAATCAACATACGAGGTCCCTAAACCTCATAACTTATGGCCCAGTGTCTGATCTCGCAACATACCGAGCACCTGCGAGAAAAGCCGAGAACCTGCTTATCGAGTCATTTAGCATTCAACATGGCGTCGCTGACATCCACAGCCAAATTCAGTGATATATACGAATTGAAAGAAGAATTGGGAAAGTAAGTAACGCCGTTTCATGGGTTTCAACTTCAGTAGATTCCAGTTTTGATGAATTTCACGCTTGGATTTAGCGAGATTCCGAGAGAGGAGTGGAAACAAGACGAGTCACGGATTACTCCAGTTCGCCCCGATATTGCTTTGACAGGAAAACCGAAGCAACGCATCTCGGCACGAGTATCGCTATGCCACTGGGTACACTGCATTTATTTGTGTAAATCTGCTGCATTTTGTGTGTGTCTCCTGTTTGCATATTCAGTGTGAGGATATATCTACAGTATTTCTATTTCTTCGCAGGGGTGCGTTTTCTATCGTGAGAAGATGCGTGCAGAAAGCCACAGGACTAGAGTTTGCTGCAAAAATAATTAATACCAAGAAATTATCTGCAAGAGGTATGTATTTTCCATGTGAAGAACTGTCAGGAATGTTTCGTCTAGAATGGTATGAACTGTGCACACAGATGCACTGTTAACGGTGTTGGAGAGGGGAAGTAAGACTTGGGAAATAGGGAAGTACATGGGAAAGCATTTAGTGTGTACGGTACAGATGAGTGGGTAGACAGACCTACCTCGCATTCTTAAAACCCCACTCCCAGGGAATTCTTATTCAGAAACATGTATCCATCTTGTTAGGGTTGTTTGAAATATATGTAGAACCCCAATCCACCCAATTTGATAACGTTGTTATTTCAGTATAGTATTGACAGCCAATAACGACCATCAGCTGTCAAAATCATTAAATATTAAAATATATTTCAAAGCCTGTGTATTTCATAATATTTTGATTCGTAATGCTTTGAACTTGATAGATTATTGCTATTATGGTTGGATGTAGTGTGTTTGTTGCAATGAAAGTGATACATTTGTCAAACCCAGACCTGTATAATTAATGAAGTTTCATAACGGATGCCATTCAGGGCATGCAGAAGGTTGATAAGTGTTACAGAATTAAATTGATTAAGGATTGAGTAATGACAGAGCTGGCGAACACGGGTATTAAATTAATGTGTACAAGTGTGAACTACAGCCTGGGGATTGAGCCACTATGAATGCTGGTAGAGGCATGGTCACTCCTCGCATCGAAGTAACTTGTCATGGATTCACGTGATATTGATCGTAAATTCGCCATGCTCTTGCTTGCCATGATATATTCGTATGTTAATGTCGCCAATGTATCTAGCCATAATTGTGTTTGTCTAGCTATTCACAATGTTTGCTTCACACTGTATGTCCCTGTTTTCAATTTTCTGTCTTGGTGCTTAGGTTTCTCAAAGCAAATGACAATAGTCTGGTGTATTTCCCTCTTTGACCTTAAAATACAATCATTAGAATACTTGTGATGCCAGGGACTGCCAGAGCTTGGTTCTTCGTAGTGTTGAAATTGACTATTTACTGATCGGTTTAGTAGACATATTCAAAATCATTACTTGCATATGATCAGATTGATTTTCAAATACCATATTCAGAAAGGTGTTATGTTTTTGTGTGTGTATATATTAAGCATTCTGATACATTTTGCCTGAAATTGATTTCTGAAACAAGACAATGCTTAAACATGATCTTGTCACATGTGTTCATATTGATATTGGAAGCAATATTCATTTCACATATTTTTATTGCAATATGTATTGACTGTTTGAAAATATATGTTTGTACATACAGAGCCAAAGATTATGTGTATTATTAATGTAGGATCTGAAGAATTTATGAAATGCATGAATGTATGAAGTGTTGATATATGGAAGTGAACTACTGAACTAATAATGATTATTATGATAAACTGTCAACTGATGCTTCATGCAAGCATGCTGTCATGTCATGAAGATAATGGTCTGTCATCTGTCAGGCTCAAGATAACAGGTGTTTAATGAGTTGTAGAAAGCCCTGTTACATGCTCAGCTAAACCTTTGATGGTGTAGTTGATAAGTGTATTGCTGGCTTGACAAAGACAGACACAGCCACAAGTCTGTAAAAATCTTGATGGGCAGGTTGTCTTCTCTCAAAAACTAGATATTTTATTTACGAAATGAGCTGCAGACTAGTTGGATAAGACTTACAGTGTCTAGCCTGGCTTGATTGTGTGGTTGGTCTTGGAAATGTTCTTTTCCACAAGCACTGACAATCTGATGAAATCTCAGAGATACAATGTTGTTTATTTGTTTCAATATTTTTGAACAATGTTGTGCAAGATACAACATGTATTATTGCTTTGCTGAAGGAATAGTCAGTGGAACAAATGTATAAAGTATACATGTTCAACAGTGTTTCTGTTTATAGGCATGTGGCAGGCATATATTGATTATATCCCTTGATTGTTGAATAAACAGTTTTAGTCTCGCATCGTGCTTATGGTAATAGAAATGAATAGAATAAGAGACATTAAAACTAATTATGTTCAAATTAGAATAAAGACTCAACACTACACAACTAAAACATGACAAAGACAAAGACAGCGACTGAAGATAGTGTTTGAAGTTAGCATATGTTGTTTTTAATGAGACAGTGTCATTTGGTAGGGTTGGTCATATTCTGTCATGTGGCCTGAGCATAGGGCCATCATGCCAGTCCAAAATAGATTTTATATTATACCATAGGTTTTATATTATTGTGTTGTCCAAATGTCATTAGTTTTCTCATAATCTTCTTTAAGAAAAGTAAGGGTGGCAATTGAACTGGTGTTCGTAGACACTAAGGTAAAAAAAAATAAATTCAGAGAATACTTGGAAGAAATAGGTTTACCTCAGGTTTTACAAAAGAAAATAATATTATTCACATGATCAATGTCCTGGAATAAATGTGTTGTGAATTATCTTTTAATGTTGGAAATGGTTTATGTCCTGAAGCATTGACTAAAGATATGTTCTGTCTCGCACAGAAAATCATGCCCAGAATATTACATTATAACATACATCAGTCCCAATGTTCCTTGTCTACTCCAGTAATTTACCTCTCCTTGCACTGACTGTTGACATTTGCCATAATAGTCTTCCCTGAACTTAAAGTACATTTAATTGCCAAGATCGTGCCTATTATGTCTCTATCATTATATATTACCAAATATTATGGCATTAATCAAATGAATCATTCTTGATATTCCCCTTGCTTATTGTTAAAACATAGATAAATGTATTGACAGTATGTTAAGTGTGCTTGGTGTTAAAGAACTCATTGTTACCATGGTTACAGACTCAGATACTGGCATGTTAATCACTGAAATATATTGATGTCAAGCGAAGCAAGTTTGCAGACTCGTGAACCGGTAACGGTTGTTGATTCCTAGGTGTTGGTGTTTTAAACGATATTCAAAAAGTCATACTGTCCAGCAGATGTTAATATGAAGGTACACATGGTAGCAAAAGGTCCTCTAGCAAGGATGTTTCTATTTATTGTTGAATGATCATGGTGATATACAGCACAGAAATGACAAATGAACACAGGAACTAGGGAGACTGTTTCTTGTTTTCTTTATATTTACAAAGAATATAAAAATTAAAGGCCAGAGAATAACCTGTCTTGATTATTCACCGAAACATTCCTTTGGATGTAACTGGCCAAATTGGGGTGAAAATTATATAAATGAATATCTGATGATCTGTGATGACATTAGGTGTCTGCAAAAAGAGTAAAATATGACTATTTCAATTTTGAATTATTGTGTGCTGTGACTCCAGTTTCAAATTCACAGTAACATGGGTTTTATCAAATATACTTAATTTTGTGTGAATCTATTGAAACTGCATGTTTTAGTAGATCAGGCCAGTAACATGACAGTGATATGTGTCATGGTGGATATGGACAGTTTACAGACATGGCCTTACTGTTGTGAAAGCATCACATGAATGTCACTTGTAGAATGAAGTAAATCTGGCAGTTTGCCAAAAAGAAACCTCTGAAATTAATTTCATTCCTGTTGAAATATCATCTGTCTGTCTTATAACCGAGTGATGTATGGACATGGTGGAGTCACGGTGTCCACAAAGACTGGGTAATGTGTGGTTGAATACATATCGTATCACACACTTCGTATCATGTTACATCTCAAGCTCTCCTCTCAACTTGAAACAGATTTTCCCTTGGATATGGAGGTAATTTGATTGGATGGATATTTTAACACTGTGTCATTAAAATCCAGCTCAAGAATAGTCTATTTTAGCAAACATTGTTGTGTTTGTAAGCAGAAAAAAAGATTAAGATTCTGGTTACATTTAATTTCTAAAAAGACCCAGTGTTTGCTTCATAACTACCTGGTGATGTAATAATTACTCTCCTTGTACCAAGCAACTATTGCACAATCTCAGCGGCCCCAGATGTTTTTCAGAATTATTTTCCTTCATGGACACTAAATGCATCATACAGTGCCATTTAAATTATTTAAGAAGTGTTTTTAGGGGTAATTGTTCATCAAGGTGTTAGCTTGAGCTCACTCAATGATCATCATTGTGGCTACTTGGAAGCTGTTGTTCTACTTTGGGCTTGGTTACAGACAAATTAAGATAAGGGTACAGTGGAGCAAGACTCACCAATTTGACATGATTAATCTTAAATAAATAATTAAATAATAGGCCATTTATGTTGCGCATATTTCCACACCACACAGGGGCATGCTCAAAGCAGTATTATTATCCCGGTCACTGGATCAGTGTGCATTTAACAATCATTCTCAGCCTCCTGGGGAGTATACAACCCAAGCTGCCTGTTGGGTACTAGAAGATTTAGCACACTGCCATCACATCATACAGGGTACCCATTCCCTGCTGGGTGAACAGAAACACATTTCGAACAAAGTCACGGGCAAAAGGAGACACCACAAGTGTTGCACATGCTTCGGAGTGGGACAGGACCAAAAGCCCTTGAAACTCTCAGGAGCCACACAGCCAAAAAAGGGGCATCCATATAAGGACTCTCCGCGACCAACGTTGTTTAACATTACCTGATTTGTGACCTGTGCGTTGTGCATAGGGCCAATGACACCTTAATCTTTAAGGTGATGAGTGTTCAAAGATGCATTGTGCTGGGACTTCGAACATACTGGTCAACAGTCAATAAACTGCCTTGAATAAATAATTTTTTTGTATGTATTTTTTATTAGCATCGATAATTTTAGCTAGTGAAATGGTTCTCTTGTGCTTTCCAAATGTCAAGGGTATAGTATTTCTCTTTAAATTCAAGACTATATAAACGTCAACATGATAAATGATATTCGTTAATAATATATACTGTGCTTACCCATTTGAAAACTGATGTGTTTTTCATGGTGTACTCATGTTAAATAAGTATCAGTAACACAGTTATAATATTCAGGGCTAGATGTAACGATATGAAACATGCACCAGTGCAACCTATTATTGAAAAATGCAACCTAATATTTATGTCCACATGCACCAAGTGCATGT